TTTGGTTATTTTACACAGTCACATCTATTTTACATAAAAGTTTGTCAAACACCATCATATTGCTTTTTTTTTTCTTTCCAAAAGCATTTTTACAAAAAAGTTTATCAAACACCCTGCTACTTTATTTCATAACTGCTTATTCTTACAGTAAAGCAGAAACAATTTTTTTTTCAAAGCAGAGGATTAACAAACCATTCCTCTATCGAACCCATCTAAGCCAAGGGGTTAAAATGTAATTGTAGCGGTGCCGTACCGATATTCGGCGAAGATGCTGAAGGATAGATAGGCGGGTGGGGTCTTTTTAGCGCCGCAGTCTAATAAATACACGAAAATAATAAAAAGGGAAAGGCAGGTGCTCGACTGGTGAGCCGATTAGCGAGAAGAACAGTGTTTTTGGAAGAATTTTCATGTCCATCTTGCCCAACCAAGACCAAGGATCTATATCATCGTCTACCTCTTCAGCTCCCTCTGTAAACCCTAACTCCCAACATGGACACCGCCACCACCACGTCTCCCTTTCTCAATCCCAATCCCAATCCCAATCCCAATCCCTGTCGCTGTCTTCGCCGGATCCCTCCCGCCAAATTCTCCAATTTGGATCGCTTCGGATCTCCGACTCTCAATCTAGCTCCTCCGCTACTTCAGGTGTTTGATTTTCAACTTCTTCAATCTGTTTCTTTTCGGCTACCTTCTTTATTAGAAAGTAAATACCCTAGAATTTGGGCAAATTGGAAAGAATCAATCTTTTCTTGGATAAGTACAGCAGTTTGGAGTCGATTATTGATCTTCGCTCTGCTTGAAGGTGTTGATTTTTACTACTTGAAATAGAATGTTGTTTAAATTATTCGTCTGCAGGCCTGTCGCCATCGGCACCAGCTGCAGAAGATTCTGGTGGATCTTCCCAGCAGGTATATTGATTTTATGTTTTGAATGTTTCGTTTTTCTGCAGCACCCACGCTTGTATGATCTGAGAGAGCAATTGAGTAATGACTTTCAGTCTTTTGTCGTTGTTTGTTTCTTTTGTCTAGGTGACTGAGTTAGGGATGCCTGGGGGTAACCAGGCTATACCTAATAACCTCCACCACACACATTTACAGTGTCACTCTGGTGGAGGTGGACGAGGGGTTGGATCACCCCGGTCTAGAGGGAAAAGGTCAGGAACCGATGGTTCTAGTTCAACTCAACATAGCATCGGGTCTGTTGCTTCTCATGGAAACTCCACTCATCAAACAGGAAGGAAAACCCAGCTGATGAATGGCAACCACTTGTTGAATTTTTATTATGACCCCATATCTCATCCTCAGCATAGAGCTGCTCCTCCTCCTCCAAGAAGGCAACACAAGAGGAAGCCTTACAACAAAGATCTATTTCTTCAGGCTAACTACAAATTTGTAGTGTTAGATTCAGGAAACTACTCAGCTGAAACGATGGATCCAGATAAGGTGTTACAGTGGGAGAACATCATTTGCGTGAGATATTCCACCCCAACTGTGGTTCAGTGTCCCATTTGTCTGGAATATCCTCTCTGTCCGCAGATAACCTCATGTGGACATATCTTCTGTTTCCCATGTATTCTGCAATATTTGCTGATGGGGAAGGAGGATCATAAAGGAGACTGCTGGAAAAGTTGTCCATTGTGTTTTGTCATGATATCCCCGAAGGATTTATACACTCTATTCGTGGAGAATGTTAAGCAGTATTGTGTTGGTGATACTATAGACTTTATGCTTCTTAGTCGACAAAAGGATTCATTTACTTTATCCCATAAAAGTAAACAAGAGAAAGGTGCTGTTGGAGGTTCCGATGATGAAAGCTATGATCCATTTTCAAAGTTTACATTTACTTCAGATGTAGATCTTTCAGTCAGAAAAGCAATATCAGAGTTAGATGGTTGGTTGGTCAGGGCAGAGTCGGGGCTTGTTGATGACCTAGAGAAGCTTCCATATGTATGTGCTGCAATGGAACAATTAGAACAGAGGAAGAAATATTGGAACAAGCACAGGGCTAGCAACAGTAATAAATCTTGTAAATATAATAATCATAATACTGGTTTTATCTTGTCAACTGAAAATGCTACAATTGATAACAATGAAGCATCTACATTTGGACTTGCAAATCCGTCCAATGAAGTCTATGACGGTATTAAGTGTTCGGACAGTGTATCTGTGGAGAAGTCAGATGATGGGACTTGTTCTGACCAATCTGTGGATGCAGCTGAATCATTGGAAGGCCATGAAAATGTTTTGTCTTCTTCATATGATGAAAGCAAGAGTTCCCGAGGGGACTCACATGACTCTGGAAGTGTAAAGGACAAGGAATCGTATAATTTCTACCAGGTGACTGATAATTAGATATCATGTTTCCCTTTGTCTTTTGCAATTAATTTCTACGGTTGTTTTTTTAGAAAAGTAATCTCACATTTTACTAACCTGCTCATTTCTATACATATTAATTGCAACTATCTTTGTCTTGTTTGCAACAGTTGCTTAACTTTTTTAAACTGGTTTCCGCTTATATTCCTGCTGGTTTGTATTTGGTTTGTTAGTCGGTCATGTGCTCCTTTCTCTCTCTTTGAACCTTTAGATTGAAGAAAGATTTCAGTGGTTTAGCTATTTATATTTTATGTCTCTATATCAGGCAGCTGATGGTCAGCACATCATTATTCATCCGTTGAACATGAAATGCCTTCTACACCACTATGGGGGCCAGGATATGCTACCACACAGGTATGGTTGAAAGTTGACCGATTGTTTCTGTTGTATGGATAGAATATGCAAAATCTGTGATAAAGTCCCCCTATATCAGTGCAGCAGTAAAAGAGGGGAGGTGAGGGGGTGGGGAGTGCCCTTTTATTAACTATGGTTTCTTCTTATTTCAATTGAAATGTGAAAACGGGTCAAATTCGTTATTGCAGGATAAGTGGAAAAATTTTGCAATTGGAGAGTGTGACTCAGACAGAAGCTATGAGGAGGCGCTATCACTACTTGAGTCATTTTTCTTTAACAACAATACTCCAGGTACCTTTGATACATGATCCGAATGACGTCACACTATAAGAGCATTATTGTTTCAGGTTGCGCATAGTATCTCATCACTATACACTCAAATTTCAGTTTTCTGAGATTGATCTCAGTGAGGTATTGTCTCCTGATGCGTTGTCTCCCTTTATGGAAGACATAAAGAAGCGTGAAAAGCAGAGGAAGCAACTTGCTAGGAAGGTATTCTTAATTGCTTAAAAATAACATTAGTTTGTTCATGCTTTAAAATTATATGCTATTCCTATTTATAGGAGCAAAAGGAGAAAATGAAGGCTGAATCTACAATGGCATATCCCATCCCCATAGTAGCAGGTTATGGGCAGTCCTTTCATGATGGATCCCCTACATTCTCCATGGATGACTTCGAGGGTAATATAATGTTCCTTGTATATGTTGTACATCTTTAGACGCATGACCTTTTGTAGGTAAATTTATTCCGCTTAAGCACTAACATTGGGTTGTTTTGGAATAAATGTATTGTCCAAATAAGGAAAAACAAACTTGAAGTATGGTTTGGCATCCTATTTCTGAAACCTTCAGCATTTCTGGCATACTAGATCAGTGTTTTATTTTGTTGTCCTAAAACCTGTAATGCATTCAAACATTTTAATTTAATTTAGGGGTGCTTCTTGAAAACTAGGCTTCTGAAATTTTTGTTATCGTTTATTGTTGAAGTTTGCAGATTCGTATCTATTTATGGGTGCTCTAAGCTGTTAAATTAATTATTACCCCTTCTTGTTGAAGTTTGCCGATGCATATTTGTATATACTGCGCTCTTATTTTAAATATCATTTAATGGTTTATGCATATGCTACCTGTTAACAGCTTTGGGAAGTTGTACAGTGACATCATCAAGCCCTCCTGTTGTTGGGGAAAGGAAGCTCTTCTCGAGTGTTACAAGGCTTGGTTTTGTTGCTGCGCATGATTCTCCAGCGCTGAAACTAGAAGGAACCAATTCTCTGAACGGCAATGATGCAGGGAGAGTCTCTCCCAAGACAAATGGTATTTATGAAAATCTTGTTATGCTGGTTGTTTTTTTCTGCTTGAGATTAAACGAGCATGCAATCAAATCTGAGGAATATTTGATCAGGGTCATACTAAGATAATAGTATGTTGTATCTCGAGAGTAGTGGTTGCTCAACCTTGTTTCATTTTTTTTCTTCAGCAGCAGGTACCCAGAATGCGGGTGTTGCGTCATTTGCTAATATAATCTCCAGAGCTAAGCCTGGTGAAAATACGGATCCACCCAAGACAAATGATTCGGGAAAGAAGGGAAAGAAACAGAGTCGAGTCCTTTTGTCAACAGCTGGTGGTCGGCGCTACTGATAACTTTGTGAACGATAATGGTGTCGTCTTGTATCATATAACCTTTGATGGCACGAAGGCTTGTGATCATTATGTAGATGGGGTAGATGTAAAAAATTAAGAACCATTACCGAAATCCTCCGCCCCTTTTCGTTTGTTTCTTTTCTTATTTTTTTCTAGCTATGCTGTTTTTCATCTTAAGGAATCCATACCGAGACTCGATAAATGGTACGACTTATTTGAAAGGGCTTCTTACATTTTTCTTATTTGAAAGGACTTAATAATTTCTTTTAGTTTTTTTATTTTTTATTTTTTTACTTACATAATCTATATTAAAAATTAAAAAAAAAAAAAAAAAAAGGTGGTAATTGCTGTGGCATATATTCAAGGAGGGAGAAGATAGGAGAGGAAAATTGGTAAAGCGAGTAGAGGAATTTGTTTTTCTAAGTAATACAAACGCGATGGACAAACAAAAGTAATAGATACATTAATGCTAATAGGGAAGGTTTTCTAGATTTCATAAGATCCATATCCATAATCGACTAGGATTTATATTGTTAAACATGTTATAATTTTAACTACAACGTTAACATGAAAACGTGATAGAATGGAGTGGCAATCATGTTATTATTTTGAATTATGTATGTGATAGTTAAGACAGTGAAGAATCAATTGCGTTGCTTGTCTGGTAATTCAACTGGTTTCCTTGGCAAATTGTCCTGGCTTGTATCCTTCACTGAATCACAAGCTCAGCCTCGAATCTCGAGCTTCTAGAACAGACTTGATGCTGTTATTGTTCGTTCGAGGAGTAGTAGTAGTAGAGCAATGAGAAGTCACAAAGCGGCGTCGAGTAACAACCACCTCAACCGGCGGCCCACTATTCTCTACCTGGTTTGCGCCGTCGCCTTCTTCTCTCTTTTCCTTTTCGCCATCCAATCCTCTTTATTCGCAGGTCCTCCCTCCTCACTCGCCTTCATATCCTTTCCTTTAAATCAAAACTAAACACTGTGTTTCACTCGTAATTCCAAATCTTTAGCATTAATTATATGTATCCAATCCAGGTAATCACAAGTTACATCTCCACACTCAACATGATGTTCGGGTTTTATCGGAATTTCAGTCTACTGTTACGCAATGCGTGGTTAGTTTCTCTTAATTTCCTTTATTTTCACTCGATCTGACCCTGCCCTTTTCAATCCATCTTTTCCTTCAAATCCCTAATTCAAGCTGTTGATTCAGTTTTAGGACTTCAATTTTGTATATTTTTGCGTTGTGCTCATCTAAGAAATCTTTTGTTTCTCTTCTTTCTTCATTTTTCTGTAATTTTGGTGAGTTTTTGTGTTGGATATGAGTTCTTACGAAGGTTAAGATAAATGTAGGCAAACAGAGGGCTTGGTCTGACTGCGCACATTATCGACCATTGCAATCTGAATCTTAAGTTCCCGGACGGAACTAACAGCACCTGGGTCCGTATTCTACCCTTTACCTTCTCACCACAATTTCATCTTGAATTCTTGTACTAGTCTGGTCTCCGAGTGCTAAATACTTGAGACTCGAATTGCAGTATAATGAGCAGTTTAAAACTTTTGAAGCGCTCGAGTACCACTACAATGTTTGCGAGGCACTTCTTTTATGGGAGCAGGTTTGTCTCTCTCCTACCATCTGTCTTAAGTTTAATTACCTCCTTACGCCAATTCTTTGTACTGATGCTTATTTAAGGATGGATGCAGTACCGGAACATGACGACTGTATTGACAAGGGAGTATCTAGATGTTCGGCCTAAAGGTTGGGAGGAGTATGCAGCACAAAGGATAGCACAATTGTATGTTCGTCTACACATTATCTCTTCCAAACCTGTGCTTGATTTCTGCCAATAGATTATAGCATACAAATGCCTACGAACCTACACTCCATCTGTTTTTTTCTTACATATGGTTTTTTTTGGTTGTAGGGGAACTAAGAAATGCTACAATAAGACACTTTGTGAGGAACATCTTAATGTGATACTACCAGCAAAGCCACCTTTTCATCCTCGGCAATTTCGCACATGTGCAGTTGTTGGAAATTCAGGAGATCTTTTGAAGACGGAGTTTGGAGAAGAGATTGATAGTCATGATGCTGTTTTAAGGGATAATGAGGCTCCTGTTAATGAGGTAAAATAGCATGTTTGTTTCCTAGCATTGGTGAATATATGGATTTATTCTTTCATGACAGCCTTTGATTCTTCTGGGGTTCTAATTGGAACCACTGGTATTCTGTTATGTTCACTCCTTTTATAGGCAATAGAAGGAATAATAGGCACTAGTTTGGTTGATAAAATTCTCATTTAGTCTTTCATATGTGTAGAAATATGCCAAGTATGTGGGTCTGAAGAGAGATTTTCGGCTTGTTGTAAGGGGTGCTGCTCGAAACATGGTTGCCATATTAAATGGGTCCGGTATGCTTCTAATATTTTGTGTTTAAATTTTTATTTCTTACTTTTGTGTGGTCAAGTTAAGTTGTGCCTGCTGTATTAGATAAGTCCTAACCTTCATGGCACTTCACAAAAAGTTACTCAAGTGTGTTTTCATATTTGCAACTTTCCCTTTCTTATGCAGCTGATGAGGTACTTATAATCAAAAGTGTTACACACAAAGACTTTAATGCAATGATCAAGGTGAAGTTCACATCTAAGGAGGCCAATATATTTCTTTCTTTCTTAGAATATAGTTAACACACCCCATTTTCTGAGATTTCACAAACATTTTGGATCCTAACATATTGCAGGGTATTACAAATCCAGTCTACCTTTTCCAAGGTATTGTGCTCCGCCGAGGTGCCAAAGGAACTGGAATGAAATCAATAGAACTAGCACTATCTATGTGCGACGTTGTTGACATATATGGTTTCACTGTTGATCCTGGCTATACTGAATGGTTTGTTTCCTTTGGCTTTTACTTGATACATTGTTGTTGTTTATTGGCTGGCATTATTATAGCAAGCAAGGAACCTGTTTATATTCATGCCTTTGCATGTGAATATAAGTTTCTTTTGCATTTCTGATCACGCAGTGTTATGGTTCAGTTGATGCCCTCTAGTTTATATATTATTTGTATCAACTCAGGTGTGACATTGATTGTATGTCTTCTTATGGCTTACCAATTTGCTGCTTTATTGTAGGACACGCTACTTCTCTACACCTAGGAAAGGTCATAATCCACTTCAAGGAAGGGCATACTACCAGCTCCTAGAGTGCCTTGGTGTAAGAACATACACATTTTTTCTTTATAGAATGTATCGAAAATGCAGGCGCATGCTTGAATTCTCATCACCGAATGATTCAACTTTTAGCTTTTTTTTATATGTCAGGTTATTAGAATCCATTCTCCCATGAGATCTAAGAGAAAGCAAGATTGGTCAGATGTTCCAAGTCGAGAAATGATAGGCAGAGCTCATGCAGCTGCATTGCGATTAAAGAGGGGTGAGGCTGGTGACTTGGGACAGTTTGGTAGTTGCAAGGTGTCCGGCAATGTGGACCCTGACAAAGTTGGGCCTGTCTCAGGCTCTCCAGACATGAGTGATAAAAGAAAGTTTTCAAATTACAATAAATGGGAAGTTTTGCCCTTCAAGAGTCTGAGGAAGGAGGCACAGGACCACTATATTCAAATGGAAGGTGTTTCTCTTTACAAAATGGATGGCAATAAGTTGGATGACCTAGTATGCGTGAGGCATTCCTTATCAGATGTCTAGCCAAGAAATATCCTGCGTTTGAGTCTTTATGGATTTAACTTGGATGGTTAAGAGCAGACCCAGCCGTGTGTTCCCGGTTTCTCCTTGACTTGTTGAAATTTCAGTGAGATGGTCTTCATCCCGGTGGATTATGGAACGCGACTTGTCTTACTTCTCTCGTTATACTTGGATCAGTGGTCGTGACATGGGAGGAATCTGAAGCTGCCTTGCAGTGGGAGAGATGTCGACAAAAATCGAATTCTTGTATTTTTTGGGTTACATTTGTAGAGATTTTTGGAAGTGGAAAGATGTATGGAATACGCATATATGGTGGCTTAATTAATGATTGTAATAGATTCTTTTCAGTGTATACTACATAGATATTCGTTATCCAACGGAGGAATGTAAACTGATTTAAGTGACACTTTGTTTTATTCGAGGAAATTTCAGTGTCCTTTTTTGTAGACGATTAAGCTTGTATATTGGGTTGTATGGTTGTTTCGTTTATGTTTGAGCATCACCATACAACTATTGGCAAGGCGCATCTTTCAACCATACAACAATATATGACATATGTCGTAGATTCAACTGTAAGTATCATTTATTACTTTGAAAGAAAAGGTGATCCCGTCTCATCTAATGATTAAAACATCTGCTGCATAACATACCATGGGACCCACTCGCTAATCTATGTTAAATACCTCTAGCATCCTTGTCTTTTTACGAAAGGAACGTGTGACATATGAATCATATGAATCATGTCTTTTTACAGAAGGAACATTCAGCTGCGCGCTTCGCCTTCACTTCCTCAACCATCCATTGTTTTCCAATTTCCATATGAATCATGTGACAGCATTTAGATCGTCAAATGCGCTCCTCAAATTTAAAACTCCCAACTCCAAGACCAAATCCAAGAGTGTATGAATCCCCAAAACCGTTCCTTAATCCCAACCTCGACGCCCAGAAATCCGTTGATTCCCGTATCGTCAAGATGGTTTTCGATCCCCACACATGCCGCTCCAATTTTCTGGTCAAGAACTTCCTAAATCGAGACAGTTGTTCGACCAAATGCCTCACCAAAACACCATCTCCACAAGCATGATGATTTCCAGCTACGTCAACTCCAGCAATCTTTCCAAGGCCGACATGCATAGGTGGGGGAACTAAGCCGGATTATGTGGTCATCAGTACTAAGCTCGTGCAAAATTCATAAGAACCAAGAATTGGCAGATTGAGCAGCAGACCGACTTTTCAATATGGCAAAGCTTAGGGATGCAGGTGCTTATGTCAGCATGTCAAATATCTATGCAGGAACAGGTCAGTGAGAGACTGTTGGCAAGGTGAAGAAGGCAATGAGGGAGAGAGGAATCAGAAAGACTACAGCATATAGTTGGGTTGAAATCAATCACAAAACTCATGTGTTTACAGCGAATGACAAGAGCCACCCGCAGAGTGCAAAGATTATGAACAAGATTGACGTGTTGGCCTAGGAGATGGAAAAGGAAGGATACAAGCCAGATACAAGCTGTGCCCTGCACAAGGATGAGGAAATAAAAGTGGAGTCTCTGAAATATCACAGCGAACGCTTAGCAATTGCTTTTGCATTGATCAGCACACCAGAGGGATCACCGATGGTGGTGATGAAGAACTTGCGAGCTTGCAAGGACTGCCATGCCGCAGTTAAGGTGATCACGAAGATTGTTGGGCGGGAAGTAACAGTTAGAGACTCAAGGAGGTTCCATCATTTACGAGACGGGCTAGCATCTTTTCATTAACACCATGGCATAATCCTTAAGCCACATTGAAAGTTTGAGAAAATGATGGGCAAATATTTCTCTCTTGCGATTGTAGGTTTTTCCTCCAAATCCTTCGTCTAGGTACCAGAACAACATTTAATCAAAAACAATTCACAAGAATGACAATTTTTGCACCCCGATCATTGGGCGGGATTTCACAACCAGAACCCTTGCTCATTCTTTATTTCACCAAAAATACAATTCATTCCTAGTTAACTCCTTGCAACACAAGCATTACATTATCCAGCATGATACAATATAGGTGGCGATGCCACCTCTTCAATTCTAAGCTGACAGCCGAAGGGGCAGAGATTTTCCCCATAAATGGTAAAACTAATGACTAAAGCTGAAAATCATAAGCTGTTTAAACTAACAGGTCATTTTCAAAGAATCGAAGAATTGAATCTCGTTCAATGTTGCTCTGACACTAAGAGAGAACCATTCTCGGATCCACGTTCTACTTCAAAGAGATCATTTCCAAAGAAAGCCTGGTGGAGAGCCCTAACGCACTGCTCCGCTTCATTATCATTTACAACCAAAGAGATATTAACCTGGCCAGTGGTAATAGCTAAACGGTGAGTTCATCTACCACAACGATCAAATGCGTAAACATTTCATAGGAAGTCAACTGTAACCACACTATTCATTCATGAATCACGTCCAATGGAAAATTAACCAGGATTTAGAAGAGTGAGAAAAATCACAGATAGACACAAACAGTCAAATCAAAATTTTGCTATCTGTTTTACTGCTAATAGGAAAAGGGGCAAAACTAGTGTTGTTAGGAGATACCTTGGATGCACCCTGAGAGATCATCTGAACATTGACACCAATGGTTCGAAGAACCTGAAATGCCTGCCACATACGACCAAAAATGTCAATACCAAAATCAAATATACATGAACAAAGGGATAGCTAATGTTGACTGAACAATTGCAGTAGACCAGAGAACAAAAGCAATTTAGGGGACATTTTTAACTACTTAGCAAAACACAATACAGCACCTTCTCTAGTATCAGTGATGACCTCTGCACATTTCCAATGAGAGATATAATTGATCTGTGCTGAAGAAGATTGACAACAGCAATTTTCTCAAGTTCCTCCACAACATGGTCAAGTTCCTGCAAGGAAGATGCAGTATTCAATGAGATTTTATGTAACAATTACAAGCGAAAATTGACTGCTCAACCATCTTCACTTCAAATATGTTGTGTGCGCGTGATTGGCTACAATTTTTCCACAACGTGCACCAACAAGAAGGAACATACATAAGATGAAAAATCATAAAAAAAACACATGCAGACAATTTAATAAAGCTTAGATGCATGTGTCAAGTAACTCCAGAAAATCATAAACAGTAAGAGCAAATGGAAGATGAGATCATACGCTTGCCTGCTGAATAAGCTCTCTGCTCCAAAGCTTTGAGGGATCCAGTGTCAAGGAAATACTAACTTCACTGGTAGCAACAACATCAACTGATATGCCCAAATCTTCGAAAGTTGTAAATACCTATATGGAAAATATTATAAATATAAGCCACCAAGTTATCAAGAGGACAACCAACAGAAACAAGGTAATTTGTTTTCTTCACCTTAGCAAGAAATCCATATTGACCCAGCATGCGAGTGCTAACAATATCCAACATAGTCACGTTCCTTTTCAAAACGATGCTTGTTAATACAGCCTGCAATTGAGACAGAGAAAAATTCAATGAAGTATCGAGCATTTTATGACAGTGGTGCTCAATTTTCCAGCAGACTACTACAAACCTTGCTCATATCTCTTGCATGGGTAATGACAGTACCGGGAGCATTGGGGTTGTATGAATTTTTAACCCTCACTGGAATATCAGCCTCTCTGGCTGGTCTCATGGACTGTGGATGCAAGACCTGCAAGAAGGAAAGAAAAATTATTAAATCATGTTTTTTTTCTTGTTGAAAGAACACAGGTGTAACTAAAATACAGGTGGTTTAAGAGCTTATTGACTACTCCAAAGCACAACTAATCATTAGAACAGGAAAACTAAGTATTTAAAGTCAGAAAAAAACCAGATTAAATAAGTTGGAGAACCTTGCACCTAATATTGGCACTTGTTAATAAGAGAAGTATTGCAGATATTATCAACATTTAGCATCACTGTTAATACCTGAGCACCAAAATATGCAAGTTCAGCAGCCTCTTCAAATGTCAAATAAGGTACAGGTTCAGCAAGCGGATATATGTTAGGATCACATGTCAAAACACCATCAACATCCTTCCACACCTGTAAGACATTGAAAAATAGGTCATATTTTGCTACTTTTAAAAGAACTAGGAACTTGAGCAAAATTATTTTTTATTCAAACATACCTGAATTTCTCGTAACCCCAATGCTTTACCAAGGGTTGTAGCTGTCAAATCACTGCCACCTCTACCCAATGTAGTCACAGCACATGATTTCCATCCCTGCAACCAGCAAAACAGTGTCAATGGTGTTAATAGTTGAACCTTTTCAAAAATAGAATATATGTTGAAGTTAGCCAGAAGAGACACCTTTCCAAGGAAACCAGTAACAATTGGAATAGCAGGATCACATATCCAATCACCCTGTACCCTCTTTGCGACAGCTGGATAAGTAGCCTCCAAGATATCCGCATTTGTGAAGTCATCTGTGGTTATAAACCCAATTTCAAAGGCATCATACTGCCAAAGCAACAAACACAATTATATTAACTTGCTATCAGCAAGAATGGTGCTAACAAACAATTAGGATTTCTCAGAAATTACAGCTGGAAATTTGCAACCACTTCCACAATTACATTAAATTGGGAAAGAACATACTTGGCGGGCTTTAACACCAATCTTATTCAGATAGGCAGCAAAGAGCCTTGTGGACATGCATTCCCCAAATGAAACCAGATAGTCTTTTGTTCGTAAAGTCAACTCTTTCATCATAGCAATTCCCTTCAGAAGTTGTTCCAGTTCTTCCAGGTGTGCTGCGAATCAGAGATAACAGGAAAAGCCATATAAATCAGTAGGATTACAATGAACATGGTATACACAGCCATGCTAACTGAACAGCCAAGGCTTTAGGCTGCTTAAAACTTTGGACAAATTTGGACTTGCCAATATGCAAAACAAGGATCATTGCATTAAAAAAACAACGGACTTTACGTGCTGATAAGAAAAGAAACTCACATGATATGATAGAGCTGTCCACTCCAAGTTCTTCCACGGTCCTATTCAAAATAGGATGGTGCACAGTGAGAAGAAATAAAAAATTGAATTATTTTTCCTAAAAAATCGCACAAGAAAAATAAATATTCCGCTGCACTCACCTGAGGTGTAATTCTTTTATGAAGCTCAACTCATCAATCATAGATACATTGGTGACACCGCAAGTGACGGCCTTTTCTCCTGCCTACTCATGAGCAACCAATTTGACCATCATTTGTTGTTATTCATAAGAAATGAAGGGATAAAAGGTTGGATGACAAGATCTAAGTGATATTTATATAATGTGGTACCAGTAAGAGTTTGTTAGTTGTCTTTCCCATGGCAGAAAGAACAATGACAGGCCTCTCTTGTGGGAAGCTGAGTATAAGATGAGCAACCTCTCTCATTCTCTCTGCAGAGGCCACCGAGGAGCCACCAAACTTCATGACGCAAGTCAATTGTTTCTCATTGTCACTAAGGCTTTGATTGTCAGTCTGTTTCTTTTCAAGAACATCCGCAATTCCTCCCTCGCAACTGACTCTCAAAACCCTGCTCGTACAAGAAAAGTTTTTAGCACCTGGAAAGAATCCATTGCTGGAAGCGACACCAGTAGCGAAACGAAGACGTTGCGACCATAGTGGTTGCTTGAATCGCAAAGATCTTTCTGGGGATGCAGGGCACAGAGTTTTAACTCGGGAAAAATGCAAGGCAGTTTCCATTCTAAAATAAGTTATTTCAACGAATGACGTGAATGGGGAGTGTCTGAATCAGTTGATTGTTATGGCGTACAGAGCTACGCACTCAAGATCCCAACACAACCGGTTTATCAAATTTAGAACTTTTAGCAGTAGCTCAATCTGCAAAATTCCATAACTTGAGTGAATAATTTCAGAACTAAACAAACATCTAAAAGGACATACAGAGATAAGTAAAAGACAGAGGGGCAATTAACTCATTTGCATTGATATATAAATACAACACACACAACACAAGGATTAGAGAGATTGAAAAGTACCTTGAGATGATTGGCAGATCAATGAGATGAGAGCTAACCAAACGTAGAGCCTCCAAGCCTACAACAAGGGAACGAGAGAGGCGGCAGAGGAGGCGGCAGAGGCTCTGTGGTCCGTCGTAGATTCAGAGCATTGAGAGGGGGAGCTGGCGGCGAAGCTCTCTCAATACTCGAGGAATGCGGAAGGAACAGCGGAAAGACAACACACACAACAAACAAACCAAACCCAACCCTGGCGGCGCCTCTTCTTTTCAACCGCGTTGTGTTACGTTGTTTGTTGAATGAATGAATGGAAATCGTGGAATGCCCAACGTGTTTCTTATTTTTTTCTATTTCTTTTAGAATGTGTTATCTATATACCTCATTTTATTGATTATAGATCATTTATTAATTTATGTCCGTTAATCTTATTCAATTCATCTGATCCAACGGTTGAAAATTAAAAAAATGTAAGAGAAGTAAAAAATAATGTGTGGATATGACATCGCTTTCTTTTTCATTAAATAAATTCCTTCTCTTATGTGTTTTCATATTTTTATCAGGAAAGTGGAACCGACGGTGGAGACTCAATCTTTATAGGTTCACATGATACGAGCGTTATTGACCGTTCGATGAGGATGGCGGGGGTAGATCTCACGGTGGAAAATGGTTATGTCTCGAATAATGTCGTAGGGGAGCGCACTGAGTGAGGGATCGAGACGCCGCTGACAGAAAATGTGAGGTTGGCGATTTAAAAATAGAAAAGTTGAATCTCTGACCAAAAAAAAAAGAAATTCAAATTAAATTAAATTTAAGGTTTCTTTTTTTCAAAAGAAAATTGAAAAACCGAAAGAAGTTGGATCAAACGTGGACCATACCTGCCTCTGTCTCCCATGGTGCGGTCCGTGTAGACACGGATGTCGGTTGCTGTGTGAACTTAATTTATTTGGAAGTTATTTTTAAAATAATTAAAATGTTTTTAGTGAGAGTGTTTTTTGAGTAACTTGTGGTTTTTATGGGAAGGTTCGTTTTTAGAATTCACTTGTATTTTAATTAAAATTGATTTTAAAAACGTTTTCAATCATTTTAAAAGCACTTTAAAAAAAATCACTAGTACTGTAATCTTCTTTGCCTTCTTGCACTAATTGCAAAAGAAGCAGTGGGCTGTTTATTCTTTCTCGGGTACTAATTTGCATCTCGAGTTGCAAGCTTGACCTAATCTAGCTTAGAGTAGTAACATTACTTATAAATAAAAACAAACTCACGAACACACATTGTAGCCTACTGATAATATCACCCATGCATGCACAAGTAAAATACAGTTGAGACGAAGAAATTAACTTCAAGAGCTGAAGTTAGTTACTGAAGATAACAGAGCAGTTTTGCCTGATGATTCAACACAACATAATCCACTGCAACAAAACAGATGATAAAAAACTAAACCTACGGACATCGTTGGCTGAAATGCTTCTAGTTGAGCTCTATAGGCTCTACCGATGGAACGAAGAGAGGAGTAGGAAGCCGCTGCATTTACAAACTAGCTACTCCATTAGTTGAGTTGAGGGAGGTACAAACAAACCACACTACTAGTTAGTGCCTGCCCGCCTTCATGTCTCCCAATTGTAAGGCTCCAATTTGTATTGCTCGAGTAACAGTTACATCATCATATTATGAAATCCGGCTGAATCCAAAAGTACTGCTTTTATTTGCTCTGGCAAGAACTGGTTTTCCCTGCATTGCTGTTTAACATACAAGGGATTAGGTTTTGTGTGTCCATACAAAACCCAAAAAGATTTACTAGTGCGAAAGATACGGTAAGAATACCACATTTTTGTTGCATGGCATTCCCGGAACAATGCCTCAGACACTACCAAAACAGTTTTAATGCCAATCAATTGTGACCAACCACAAAAATCTTTTCGGGATTAATCTTTATTTGAGTCTATCTTCCGAACAAAATGGACTCAAAAATTGAAGTTCAGAAGCAGCAAACATGGAAAACTCAACATTCGTATCTCCCAAAGTAAAATAGAAGATTTTTACGCAAAGTCAGGGTAATACTATATGTTACATTTGGATGTCAAAAAGTAAAGCATCAAGAATGAAAAAGAACATACATACACAAAGTCGTACGTGCGTGTGTGCGTGTGCGTGTGCGTGTGTGTTATTTTGAGTTAATACAAGTCACCCTTATACTTCATATGTAAAAACAGTCTCAGCAATTCGCTATTCGGAAAAGAAACATATCTCAGCTCGGAACACATCTAAAGTAAACCCATTGAAGCAGCTGATCACAGCCTGCTGGATGTCCAAATCAAGGTTATCCAAGGCCCTCATGGTCGAGAGAAAGAGACCTGGTCTCCGAGTACAGAACATGTGGATATTAACAGTTCGCCCTTCCCTTACCCAAACCTCCACCTGCAAAATACAGTTGAAAATTACAAGTTAAGGAAACCTCCTCGATCATACTTTACATATTAAATGCTTCAAATTATACAACCAGGTGAATAAAAGTTACCTTCGGTTGAGTTTTGGGGCTTGGCAAGGAGCTTGGGCAGAACTCTTCTTTGACACAGCAGGGAAGGGTGGATGGAGGGGGTGTCAACGGATGAAAGCTTGTTGAAAGTGGCAGCAAAGAGCTAGGTGGAGCTGAATCCAGCTCGTTATGGAGGTCATTGATCCTTTGTAGAAGCTCTTTCAAATAATCAATTGCATCCCCTAGTATGGACGCCCTATCCATCTGTGTACAACATGACAGAATACTCATTAGGTATTATGACTGATAAGCAAGAAGCCACAAATCACACAGGAAGCTGAATCCCCCAAACCATGGCCCAACTTAAGGCAATATCAAGAGCCACTGGATCTGCCATGGATTTTCCAAACTATTAACTTCTTTCGGATAAAAAGACCAATTCGATGTAAAACAACGTGAGTACTTCTCTTAATACATCAATACAATAGTATGTATACATTACCTTTTAAGTGGCTTAAATTCTATGTAATTCTAAGGCGCACATCCGGCTGTTACATTCAGCTAATTTCCGTACTTATAGTACTAGTTAAAATGAAAAATGAAAAATGAAAAAAACACTAAAGTAGAGCAAGAAACTCACATAAACTAACATAAAAAGATAGGGAAAGCACACAAAGACTACATCTTCAAAGGAACAAGGCAGAAAGAAATTAATGGAGAACTAAGTCCACTGTCGAGTATAGATAGTACAGAAAATGACTACCTTGCTTATCTTGGGTACAACAGACCTAAGCATGTAAAGCCTGTCATTGAGCTTCTTCCTCCGCCTCCTCTCCGCCATCAGATTTTTGGCCGGCAAACCCTTCTTCTTGCCCTTGCGGTCACCTCCCTCTACTCCGGTGACAGTACAGTTGGCATTCGAATTGTTTCCACCATTCTTCGCATTGTCCTCCACCTCCACTTGACTGTGCTCATTAAAATCGTTCGAGTCATAATTCAAACCAGACACATCCAGACTCTCTTCCTCCACCTCACCCTCCTCGTTCCTCTTCTTCTTCTTCTTCTTCTCCAAATTCTCCACTAGTCGTCCGTATCTTGGGGACCAAATCTCCAAATTCCCCAATTTATCAGCCCCATCACTGCCAGAGTTTTGGCGGCGCTTCTGGAAAACAGTGGGCTGAGCACCCATGGGAGGGAACAGGAGCTTAGCCCCGTTTAGCAGCTGAGCACCGGCGGAGCCATCGAAGCCTTCGAAGCCAAAGTCGCCGTCGAGTACATTGGGGTTGTCGGTCACTGGCAGCAACCGACTCGCCGGAAACTCGGCGCTCGAACTGAACTCGGGAGTACCCATCTGAGAGTGAGAATTGAGAGCCGTGAAACTCGTCAGAAGAGAGGAATTGAAAGGCTGATTTCCCTGAAAGGAGCCCAGAAACCCAGCGTCGCAGCCCAGGTCGAAGCTGCTATCAAAAGGGTTGGAGCAGACGACGTTGAGGAGAGAGGAGAAGCAGGATTTTGGAGGCAAAAACTGCTGTGGCGGCTGTGAAGGGTCGAGAGAGAATGCCTGCGACGGAGAACAGGAGGCGGAGGAGTCGTTTGGTTGCAGAGGAGCAAGTGTAGTTTCAGAAGCTTGGGTGGAAGAGAAGGCATGGAGGTCTTGAGCTGGGTTGCTGAGAATGTTGTTGGTGTACCAGTCACCTTCCAGCATTAATTTGAAGTTTGAAAAAGAAGCTCCCAAGCTCGAATCTTGGTCGTTTCTTCTGAGTTCTGCCTCATTGTTATTATTGTTTCTGGTCCAAGACACTGCGCCGTGTTCGTCTCCGCCCATCCAAGCGGTGCCGCTGGACATAGGAAGCATGACTGTCTTTCTTCACTTGTCAAAGACTTTTCTATATGATTATACTCTTTAGGGAAAGTTGTCTGAAAGAGACAAAATAAAAGGCGGGGTTCGGTTACAGAGGTTCGATAGAAAACGCGGGAAAGGAGAGCAACTTTTTGCCCAGAGTCGGGTCATCATTTTGAGAAGAAACGGAGACATAAATTCCCGATGTTTTTTCTCTAACTTTTAGCTGGGAAATGGAAATGGATTCTTTCAAGTTCGAAGGTTCAGTTTCAACAGTTTTGTGGAAGGGAACTATCACATTGGTCTCTAAACTAATTGTAATTATTGATTCACCCAATTGTCGCAATGTGGAGTAATGTTCTTTCATTTTAGGTAACTTTGTTAGAAAAATATTGCATTGGTCTCTAATCTTTGGACCGACAGAATTCATAAATTTGTCTCAGTGTGGCGTTATGTTTCTTCTTTTTAGGTAAGTTTGCCATTGCTTTTTGTACCTTATTATCAGGAAAATTTTCATTGTGACGGGAATATGGGTGGTATATTACGCGTTTTTATATAAATTGTGATAAATTATATTTTTTAAGGTTTTTTTTTTATTAGCACCCCACATTAAAATTTAATATTAAATGACTTATGACAATTTCGACTTTATTAGGTATTAAAAAAAAACAAGAAATTTCTAAATACACCCCAAATCACTTTCAACGTATTATTTGATTTCTTCAACTCTCATAACCCGTATCACCCTCCATTGTAGAACAAAACCTTAAGCAATGAAACTATAAACACATTAATTTTGAGAACAATTATTTTTTACAAATGGAACACGAGATCGATGTTTTGGAAAGCTTCAAGATTTCTAGTTCATGTGAAGTTTTGGTTATGTGACAGACATTGAACGATCATTGTTGTTGACGACCGACATGTAAAATTAGTCGACGGATAGAACCAAGGAGAGTAGAAGAGCAATGCTGGAAACGGAGTAGCTTGGGGTCTCAATCCTCCAAGATTTCCATCAGCAACGCCAGTCACTTCTGCATGCACGTAATAGAGTATGAGTTATGCTTTGTACACTCCGTTGAATTAGGCTAATGAGAAAATGAGATTCTTGAGGTGGTAACCCACAACACCTTGTTTAGGATTTGTTGAACAAAATCTCCAAGTGGAGTTGTCCTTCACGTGTGGTTGGGAGAAATTAGAAAAACTCCGGTATCCCACAGGCCTTCAGCTTCACATCGAAGGTGCTTTGGATGATATTATGTATTTGCACATCAGATGTAAAGAGTATGGAATGTATGTAGGAAATGTGGGATTTTTATAGAAAATGGATAGTGTATGTTAGGAGTGTGGGGTAAGAGGGTATTATATATAGAGAAATATGTAGGGTGTATTAAGATAATTTTTAAATAAAAAAGCAAATATGAGGTGTATTCAATAACACGTGGGGTGTTAATATAACAAGCATTTTTTAAGTTATCAACTTTTTAGTACACATATTCTACCATTGGTATAGTGACACATGGTGTATCATCCCGTATTCCAATTACACTGAAAAATCTCTTCTTATTATCCCTTAAAACCCTTCATTTAAAGCTGTTACCAAAAGAATCGTTGATCCACATTGTGACAAATTCATTAAAGTCCAACTTTTCATTTAAAACGGTCTTAAATCACAAAAACGACATCAACAACAACAGAATAAAGCTAGCTAGGTGGAACAACTTTTTAACCCAAATTTCAAACTACGGGTATATCATCACTATGAAATAACACACATTAATATTTTAGTGATAATCTAATCATTGATAACCCGTGGATAGAATTTAAACTCGGACGATAAAACTAGGCGATTCCTCTCTCTTCATGTGACCAAACTAACTAGTCCAGGGTGGACTGCTGTGGATAACTTGGCTACACACGTGGCATGCATGCAACTCATTAACAAGTCGGGAGATGAGATATATCCGCCATCCATTGCCAAATCTTGAGGGTTTAAAGTTTCTAACGAACAAATTAATATAATCAAGTTAACAATGAATGTAGACAAATAACAAAAAGTAAAATAAAAATCTTCCGAGTTTTAACTTGGCTGTTTGGCGGACATCGAAATGCATGCATGTGAAGTCTGAAGATTAAAGAGTACTAACGATCGAAGACCCGTCCAAAGCGGTTGGGGTTACTATGTGGTTGTGGTTGTGGTCGATCTCCAAACTTTCCTCCAATAAATAAGCTTAAATTTTGAAAATTTTATGTGATCTCACATTATCGGTCATTCATCCGCACCACGAAAAGGAAACTAGCAAGCTGCAGGCGGGTCCATGACAGCTAAAAGATTACAGACAGGAGACCATGCAGGGAGACCGTGCAGGCATATTGTATACCATTCGTATATATTCATTATTCATTCAGCTGTGTGAACTGCGGGACCACTATTACTAATAATAGCTTGCTCGTGATGTCAAGGGCCTCGCCCTCTTCCTCTCTGAAAATATGACGTTAATTTAGGAGTGAACTCAAAGAAGGTCCTGGTCGAGCGAGCAGTAGTATATTAACTTACTAATCGGTAATATATACTTGATCATTCAGGTGTTCCCGTACGTACACCACTTTGTAGCTTCCCGGGCAGCCAATTCAACAACATTTAAATATAGTATGTAATATAATCAAGCTGCTTGAAATAAAAAAGACATGCATGATAAGCACGTACGCAAACACCAATTAACTTGTGTACGTTTGTAACGAAAACAAGTCTAAACCTTATTGGAGTCTTGACTCTAGGCATATACTAGGGATTACATTACACAGGTTGATCCCGAGAAGGAGGGAAGCTAAGACTTTTGAAGCTGGTGAACCCTCCATCCACCACCAGATTATGACCCGTCACATACTTTGCTTCATCCGACGCCAGATACACCGCCGCTTGCGCCACATCTATCTCCTCACACTTCGCACCCTTGAGCTCTCCCAGCCCATTCACTATCTCTTTAACTTGCTCCTCCGTCGTCCCCGGATAAAACTGCTTTATTTCCCGCACGGCCAGTGGCGTCGGTATTGGACCCGGCGATATGCAATTGACTCGGATCCCGTTTCGGCACAGCTCGCTCGCCAGTGATTTCACCAGGCCAGGTATCGTAAATTTCGATATCGAGTAGGGGTGAGGCCCAAGGCCACCCAACAGCCCAGCTATGCTGGACGTGCACAGTATGGAGCCTGAGCCCGCAGGTATCATAACTCGGGCCGCATGCTTTATCCCAGCAACCGCGCCCCGCAAGTTGACCCGGATCACGCTATCAAACTCTTCAAGGTTCAGGTCAGCGATGCTGGGCGGGAACGCTGGGCCTGTTATTCCCGCGTTGTTGTACATTATGTCAAGTTTTCCATGACGGGCCATGGCGGTTTCTACAGCCTGTGCTATCTGAGACTCAATGGCAACGTCGCACTGGACAAAGTAGGATGCGGGGCCCAGCTCTTTGACAACTTGTGGACCCAGCTCAGAATCTGAGTCCGCAATTATGACGTGTGCTCCATGTCGGATGAACTCGTGGGCCGTGGCCTTCCCAAGCCCGCTAGCTGATCCTGTTATTATGGCTACCTTGCCTTCCAGCCTAGTTTTATCAAACAAAAGTATGCACATAGATGATTAGATTCTTAATGCATCGAAACAGATGTTAATATTATCACTTTAATGTTAATGTACTGGGGAAAATAAAAGGTAAGAAAAGAAAGGAATAACACGCGTGTTGAATATGCAATGAAAAGACAAGATCAGTCATGTCGTTTGAAAATGAGGTCTAATATACGTAAGCGAAACGACGTCCGATCAAGAAAATGATTATAGGGCAGATTGATCATTCAATCATGAAGCGGTGGATCGTTTTCCACGCCGGAAATCACCCAAAAAGCAACACCGCCCGCATTCAATATTTGACTCATGTTCCTATAAAGTAGGATTTTTTGTGAACGGGAATTTTTGATTAAAGAGTAGCAGTCCATCCATTTGAATTCGATGCTCGACAATGATAAAAGTTAAAATTTAGAGTGAGTGTAAAACTGGAAGTAACTTATATTAAAAAAAATGTTATTGTCACGGTATTTTAAATTAATTATATGTTGTTATGACAAAACGTGATTAATTTGATAATTAGCATAACGGTATCCTCGTTTTAAGTAAGATATTTCCATAAAAATGAAGGCATAGGCTATGAGTTGTTACTTTTGAATCTTGATCTGACCAGGGCTAGTTTAAGCTTGAAAAACATTGCATGTGCTGCACGGTGTCTTAAACATCACTGTCAAACATAATTATTGATCAAATACTCAAGTTGACCTTATGAAGCTAAACTATGTCATATTGAAGATGGCAGAGGAACTGCCGAGATTGATTACTATAAAATGGAATTTTAATCATGGGATCACTCATAGCTCCACGGTATATACATAATTTACTTAGAAATTGCTGTCAGAATAGCTAGGTACAATTTTACTTAAAAATTGAGCATGTTAATTTCTCACAAACATACTTTAATCAGACTTTCTTTGTTGCTAAAACTTCGCTATGGATGATCTCAAGATGGTTATGTTTTTCTTTTAGTTTTAAACCCTCAACAATAAATATGAGACTTCCCTTGCATTACACTATATATAAAATGGTATCTTGAAGATGTATAACAGTTTTAAGTAACCTTATAATAATATAGTACTCCTACTGGGACTTAAATATATTAAATATGCTGGGCCGGGTGACTACTACTACCCGATAAAAACGATAAAAAGAAAACAGAAAATAATAATGCCACAAAAACTGTGCGACAATAGTCACGGTGAAAAGGTACCGATCGAGGTAGAACTAGAAGAGATTTCCATTAATAAGGGAAGAGAAGATTGACAAAAGAAGGGAAATATTAATATGATCAACCATGTTTTTGGAATCGATCGATCTGCAGCTACCAGATCATGTATAATAAACTGTAAAATACACATACCTTCCATGGCCAGATGCACCAAACGTTGAAAAGGGCATCGCTCGCTTACAGAGAAAATCATTGCAGCTGATCAGCTTAAACTCTCTGAGAAGAAAACAAATATTCCACATCTATCCCTCAGTTTCCGTGAATTTCCAGCCCATATAGCTACTATTAGGGTAGCATATATAATTATTTTGGTCATGTCAAATAGCATATATGGTATTATTGGTAAACAAGGCGTGAACTGACCTGGTTAGTGATCTGAGCATATCTGCAGCAAAGATCTGATGAATTCTGAGGATGCAGGAGGGAGAGAGAGAGAGAGATGCTTGACCTTAATTATCTAACAGCTGATGATCAGTGGCAGAACTCAAGGTAGCTGGAAAGAAACAAGGACCGGAATTTATTGGAGAGCAGGAACAAAACGTTATAAATTGCAGTTGTAGATTACCGCTTTCATGCACACAGAGAGAGAGAGAGAGAGAGAGATGGCGCAAATTTGATATTGAAGTTGAACATGGTTTACAAAATAAGTGACCTGTCGTATTTAATGATCCTAAAAACAGAAGGAAGAAGGGATGGGCAAAATATTCATGAGTATGGGTAATCGTAGTTATCCGTTCATGTAAAATTCACGGTTACGATTATGGGTAACCGTTTAAACAAATAAACGGTTATGAGTATAATCATTTACCCATTAAATATAAATAGGCGATTATGAGTATTAATCGCGGATTATGACAAACATCTTCTTGGTACTAGGATTCTGATACAAACTTGTTCTTTCTAATCAAAATTTTCCATTGAATTACCCTTGAAGATATAGCATTCTATTTCCATTGCACGGTGACCAAATATCATCTGATTTTTAAATGATATACTAGCCCTGCTGCCCAGTTGTGTTTTTTATTAGGAATGTGTGCGCAATTCGAAAATCGAATGAAGGAGAGGAACAACTTCAGGTTACTGTTTGGTTTTAATATCATCCGTAAATTATTATTTTAATTTTTAAAATAGTATGAAAATTTAAAAATTGGAATTTGGAAATGTATTTTAAACGTTTCTATAACAATGTTGTTTGCCTAAAAAAAAAAACAAAAAACAGTGTTGAATTGTTAAAAAAGAAAATTATGATAAATTTCTTTTTCAATTTTTAAGAAAAAGGATAAATAGATAAAATAAAAAGGTAAATGGATAAAAAAAAGGGTTAAAGACTGGTAAATAGGCAAATGGGTGGGTAAGCGGTTACGGTTAAACGGGTACGTGATTATGGGTATGGTTAACTGTTTATAAACGGTTATGGGTATGTGTACACCCGTTTATGCAATTACCCAACGGGTAAACGGTTATGCAAATAAGAACTTAAACGGTTATGGGTAAATAATCGCGATTATCCGCCCGCCATAACCGTTGCCCATTCCTAGAAGGAAGCTAAGTGCTAAAAAATCAATGTGAAGGTTTTTGGATGGGAGTAGAATTCTCTCTCTTTTTATTCTTATATCTTTGCCTACCGTCCTCCCATACTTTGGAGAGATTTTTCAGTGCGACCACTATATATGATGGTATATCACGTGTCATTATACAAATGGTGGGATATGTATGCTAAAAAGTTAATAACTTAAAAAATAAAATTTTTCACCACTTTTATAAAAACACGTGGTGTGCCACTTGTGTTCTCGTCACAATGAAAATTTTGTCCACGCTTCGATTTTTGTCTTATTGTATCTATAAAAAAAAAATCAATATAAGATGTTAACGTAGCTTAATTATAACTGTTCAAATAAGAGGAGCGAGAATGAAAAAGAGATTAGAAAGGAAAAGAATTCTCTTGCTTTGGATGTAGCAGGCTGCAGACTGCAGTAGCTAGAGGTGTACGTTAGCAAACCAAACCTAGCTAACAAAAAAATAAGATTTCTAAGAAAAAAGAAATTAAAAGGGACAGCAATGATCGTAAATAATGGTGTCATTAATATTAGTTTAAAGATGTACATATAATTGGGTATGAATATATGCTGAAGGAACAACTAAGCTATAAAATTAAGCAGATTGTCATTCGATTGAGTTAGTGGAGACAAACAACAGACAAGTGAGTGAAGCTACAATCTCAAAGCGCAGGATTGCATATTGTTTGTCTCTCAAACAAAACTTAAATTATTCCTTCGTGTTCTTTTTCTTGGCCTGACTGGCCTTGTCATGATCTGTACACGCATACAAATAATTGATGAAATGTTAATTAATTAATCTTTCATTAACAAACCCCAATTATGCATGATCATGAGTAATTAAAGTTGTTCAATACTAGCAACTGGAGCAACATATGTATAATGCATGCATGCATGCGTGAATGAACGCTTTAATTTGGTGATTGTATTGTATGTATTTCACTATTTCGTGTGCGTATATAAATACTATATATAAATATGTATTATGGAGGGTGTAATGATCAATGGGTGTTAATTAAAGTAGTTACTAGCTAATCCGGATATGTATATTCTCCATTCTCTAATCTAGCAGACTAGTCTAGCTAGTTAGGCCTATAGGTAGTAATCACCAACACCAAGCTTAATTTTGTATGGATTATAATTCTCTCCCCTCCTTTTTCCATCTCCTTCCATCCCCTCCTCTCATATTCTCTTATTTTATCTTTCTCTTGCTATAAAAAATTAAAATAAGATGTTGACGTGGCTTAACCATGACCGTTTAAATAGGAGGGGAGGGAAGAGGAGGGAAAAAAAGAGGGAAGAGAATCCTACTCCATTTTGTATTGCTAATGATTACGAAAGATGAGAATTGGATGGCTTCAGCTTGATGATCACACGAGGGAGGGATATGTATATAAATTTTTGTTTGGGAATGAATTTCACATTAATGAGATGAGAGATCTTGCATTAGCTTATAAGAGGCTGAGTTATTCCTCATATTGCCAATTGGTTTTCTAGTGGAACCCCAACTTTCTTTACAGTATAAGAGCAGGTTGTTCATGTGTAAAAGCCCAACGGTCACACGTGATCAACGTCACCCAGTTGTGCTGTCTACGTGTTAGGCTTGAAAATTCACCACACGTGAGGGACGTGTTGAGAATGAATCCCACACTGATGAGAAAAAGAACTTTGCATGTGCTTACAAGTAGTTGAGCTACTTCACACATTGTCAATTAGTATTATGGTGGAACCTCAACTTTCTTCATTCATATCAACAAAGATAAGGATTGCGTTATGCCCTTAAGGGTAGGCGTGAGTACAGTCTGGTTCAATCCAGTTCACTCCTTAAACCAAAATAGAAATTGAATATTATTGCTGGTTTGGTCCAGTTCGGTTTAATCTAAAATTATAACTAAAATCGTACTTTTTAGTTTACGTCATTTCCGGTTCAGTTTCATTGGTTTCGTGGTTTTTATGCCCACCCCTTGGGGAATGAGCTTATTGCACCGCCTTTAAATAACGTATCTTTTCATAGAAATTTCATAACCAAAATTGTTCAATTTCATAAACTTGATTGGAAGATCATTCTTATAAACATACATTAATCATAGTTTGTTTAGTCATCTAAATGTATCAAATAAATTAGCGGTTCTTCATGAATACGTTACTTGGTACATACACTGTTGATGTATATGATAAATTTGAATTACTAAATAAGCTATGATTTGCATGATTATTTTGTAAGAATAATCTTTTTATGAAAATTAAGAAATTGAACAGTTCTATTATGAAATTTCTACCAAAAGATGTGTTGTTTAAAAGTGGTGGAATGAACTCATTTCCTGAAGAGAAGAACACAAACATTATCTTATTAACAAATTTTTTTTTATCAATTCGGACTTAATAACATCTTTCAACATTATATATATATAACTAGATCAATAGTTATTTGGTCAAAATTTGATAGTTGGAAATTATTATTAGCACTCCAAAAATCTCATTCTATACTCCAAACTTTCTATATTAGGAAAAAAAATACACTTGTGAGGAGTGTAGAATGAGATTTTTGGAGTGCTAATAATACTTCCCTGCTAATTTAGTTATGTTGTTTATTAATGCTTGCATCTACAAATTAACAAAAAAGTATATCTTAGTGCTAACAACCAGCTTCCCTTTAATAACCATTACGTTTATAGTTTATAGTATATATATTTTGTGTTAGAAATGGGGGGAAAGTATATGAAACAACTGAATAATGAAGAAGGATGAAGTGAAGAAGTGTGACAACCCGTTCCAAATTTTACGTTTTTATTTTATTTTAAAAGCGTGAATTTACAAAATTGCCCTAGAGGCAAGGACTTTGACTTCCGTTGACCATCGACTCGAGAGATGTGGGACTTATTCTTTTAGCATATCTTCGTAGTACTTATTGGTACGAACGTATCGGCGAAAGCTGTTTGTGAGTCCGGATTATAACGGTATAGTTACGGACGTTCGAAATTGGTTATTCAAGGTTTAACGTTTATTTAAATTAAATTCCCCCTTGTGGGAAGGCCAAATCAGAATTGGAAGAAAGAAAAGAAAAGAAAAAAAAAAAAAAAAAAAGAAGGAAGTGGGTTTCGTCCACCCGCACCCACCGCGGGTGCCCATTTTCCGAGGCCGATTCCGGCCACCTCTACAAAACCCACCCAAGAACCACCTTGATTAACCATGGTATGAGGCGGTTTGAGGCCACGAAAGTTGACGAAAATCAATGGTGCTCCGGCCACCCTTTTCGATTTTCCGGCAAATCAGCAAAGCAATGGCCGATGCCACCACTTGGGCTTTGTAGCCCATCATCCCAGGAGCAAAACCCAACCAACCTTGACCCCGTTGGACCACCGTGGACGACGAATCGACGTCGGGAAGTTTTAGGCACCCGCCGGCTTCGTGGGCAAAATTGACCATTTTCCGTCCATTTTTGGACTTCGTGGCAGATATGAAAGTTGTTCCACTCACTGAGATCTTCATTTCTATGAAGTTTGAGAATTTTTGGAAATAGTTGGATTTTCCGGCGAGTCGGGGCGGCCGACCGCCACCCGCGGCGGCGCGTGCGGCGGCGCGTGGCCAGTGGGCCGCCAATGCTATTTTTAGGCTATGTCAAATGTTTTGAATTCAGTTTTTTTATTTGAATGACGTAGGTTGATAGTTGGAACCTAAATTCGTTACGATACGTTACTTGATAAAAATGTGAATCGACGATCCGACCGTTGGATCGTCACCAAAATTGGATACATTATAATACATAGTATTTAAAGATCATAGGAATTTACGGATCGGGAATCCGACTTACGGATCTTCCTGAATTGGATTTGTAAGTTAGTAAAATAAATGTTCACGGCCACTTGTTTTAGGCAATTGGCGGAGATCTGACCGTTGGATCGTAATGAAATTTTAATATGTTATTCTAGAAACATATTGTGGATCGTTGGGAGTTACAGATTGGAAATCTGAATGCGGATCTTCCGGGTCAAGTTATACAGGGTTGTAAACCCTACCGTCGATCTTTGATCGACGGTTGACTTATGGTCAATAGGTCTCAACCTATT